CCAGACTAAGAGACTGTTTACTTGACAGCCAACATTCACTGAAAGCCGTTCCACTAACCGCTATTGGTGGACGCGTTAGGTAAGCAACAGCCACAGTGGAACGTCCGCACTCTTTGTCTTTTTTAACTGACTTCGGTGAGGACATAAGCTTAGAGCGCATATTAGACGTAGTCCGCTACCCCGTTAATAATTAGCGAGGTCAAGCATGCGTGCATCACGAGTTAGACGGAGGAGTTAATTCAAACTTGTCACTGCGTCTGATCACATAATCGCCAGTCAACACTATTCGTATGTCATTGGTGTATGGAAGAGGAAGGGTAGATTAGGGCAGATATAGAAGAAACCCTTTGCTAAAGTGATATGACACATATTCCTTACCATAACCAAGCCAACACACGCTCAGTCATCTTGATGCACTAACTGACGGAATAACTTGGCCGCTTATAATGCTTTAATAAAAGTTTCGATACTTATTTCTTTTAGACTAAGGTTGCTCGTATATAGAATCAGCGCGTGCCACACACAGAGGCTTAGCTAGCCACTAAGCCTGTGCTCAAGTGGTTATAACCTGCTAATGGAAAGTGGTGGGCATAGGAAGAGATAGAGGGCCAATTCCGGCAAGTCGCCACTATGCTTCCAGCACGGTGGAAGGCCTTGTCGTGCACGATGGAGGAACTACTTATACATGGAGTATTTTAAGAGTGGTGGTCAGATATATCCAGATTTAGGATAGTCGTAACTCTTACGGTATTCCACTTTGGATCGATAAAGTATAGAAATCGAAGCTTTCGTAAACATTTGTTTGAAACATTAATCGTCTGTACATTTGAGCTATATTTCCTTATAAAAACAGATAAGATGAGTATTATTTCTATAGCTTAAACTCTATACGTCAAGACTGACCACATATAACCAGATAGTGATTAACTAGTACATCCTATTGAATATGCATATAAACCATTCTCTAGGTATGCTCAGAATATGAAAGAGGCTCCAAAGTGAAAATAAAATGATGAAAAGCCTAACCGTTGCACAACTACGGAAACATAGTACTGGGAGAGGTCGGGTAGTAAAGCAAGGTTGCTGGATAAAAAAAGCAGCCAAAAAAAAACATACTTTGTAGTGTAGAAAATACACCCTGGCATAAATCTTACCTGCAAGCCAGTGAATAATATTTGCGTCAAAGGCTTGGCTCCAGCAACTAAGATCGGCGGCATTCTAGAGCACTTGTATCCATATGATTTAGGGGTGTATGGCAATGTAAATGACAGGTCGTATACCGTACCGTCCAAGGTTATACGCCCAGATTTCAGATTCCACATACCACTGTCATACAAGCGAAACACGAACCTTAATTGTGAATAACCATATGAAAAGAACTTACGACATACTAACAGACTGATAATGGCTCGGGTTGGGCAAAGACTGCCATTCAAACGAAAGCTTGCTCTCACCATTTGCCAAACACGAACTGTTGGACGAATAGTTTTGATTTGGAGGGAGAGTGAAGCTTGAAATAGTCCCGTTTTTGTCTATCGTAAGCTCAATCTTTTGGGCAAAGAAAGCGGAGCATCCAGAGACGTTAAAATAAGTGTAATCCTTTATTGCCTTCGGGGGGAGTAGCTGGAAATATGTTGCTTCTAACTCTTCCGCTCTTAAGAATAATAACAAAAGCAAAATTGTTACTTTATCAGGTTTAGAACAGGAGCAACAGCCAAAAGAAGAATGGTAGCAGCGTACATCCTGTTATGGCGGGTGTTCTCCCGAAAACAACACCGTAAATGCTGCCAATGTAATTGTATTATTAAAAGTCCGAACTTAGGTGTGTGAATCATTCCTAATCTCTGGGTCCTCGATATTTACACTACACGATTCAAAGATTGAGAAAGGCAGCTTTAGAGGTATAGTCGCAAGCTTAAAATAGTACTCTTTTCTGCACTGTCGAAAATATGCCCGTACTTCAATAATAAAACGATATGAAAGCAGGACACGAAATGCAATAAACGAATTCCACCTCTGCATAAAAAGTTACAAGGCTTGAAGTAAATCACTACCGCAAGGATAATGATTAGAAAATTAGGTAGACGTTAAACTACCCGAATTTTCAGAAGCATTGAAAGCGCAAGACTCCACACTGACCATTTATACATTAAATCGTTTAGTGTAGTGAAGGTTAATAGGCACTGCCTTTGAAGACCTTGCCAAAATGTTGGTGGGGCACCAAATAGAAGATTTCCCAAGTCCGAAGTCAGGGAAGACTGACAATGTTGGCCAATGTTTACTGTCAGAACGAGCTTATAAATGACTCTAAAGAAAGTTGTTGCCCGCAGACTCCTAAAGTCGGTTTTCCTTGTATGTGCCTCAGCGCACGCTATTACAGGAACCCGGAACGTATCGTTTGATGCCTGCAGCCAATCGGAAAATGGTTTACACCGATTGGCTTAGGGTTCTTGCGGCAACGACACAACCATGAGCGCGATAAGAAGACAACGTGGGCGCGCAAGGTTTGGCAGGCGAAGGCATGATGAGTTAACACAGTGACACTGATCAAGGCCCGCTACAGTACCCTCTGGCTAGACCGAAGGCGGCGTCTAGCGACGCCGAGGGATTGGGTCATATTTAAAATACATGGATAACTTAACGGTCAGGAGAATGAAAAATGCGTCCACTACGGATAATATATGCAGGGAGCAGACAGGAAGAGTGAGTTTCTTTTGTGACTTGCAAGTTGGATATTGAGAAGCAGGGATCCCTGCTGACTCGAGTAATAGCTGATGACCGTGTTCATGGTGGAAGAGGTAGCAGACGGGATTGGGGGTGTTATGTCGGGAAGTAACGGAAAGTAGACCACGGGGCTCGTCTGGCGAGATTACCGTGTCAGCAAAATTGAGGTGGTCTACGCTC